TAGAAGAAGCAATCATGGGTTCTCAAGTTGAAGTAACAACACTAATATGGTAATTCCAGTAGACTGCTTAATTTAACAGGCTTAAAATGAAACATGTCAATGTTATAATTGAGAACAAAACTGCTTGTTTTTTTGTCCCTAGTTCCAAGTGAAAAAAATTAATGGACAGCAGATTTTCAGTAGAAAAACAAGTGTTCTACCCATTTTTGCCTCTGCAGAACATGGCCCTGGAGTCCAGTACACAGCAGGAACTTAAAAATTATTCAACTCTGGGGCGCCTGGGTGGCTCAGTCGTTAAGCGTCTGCCTTTGGCTCAGGTCATGATCCCAGGGTCATGGGATCGAGCCCCGCATCGGGCTCCCTGCTCAGCGGGAAGCCTGCTTCTCCCTCTCCCACTCCTCCTGCTTGTGTTTCCCCTCTCGCTGCCTCTCTATCTGTCAGATAAATAAATAAAATCTTTAAAAAAAAAAATTATTCAACTCTGGCGTTTGGGTGGCTCAGTTGGTTAAGCCTCCGACTCTTGATTTTGGCTCAGGTCATGATCTCAGGGTCATGAGGTGGAGGCCCATGTTGGGCTCCATGCTCAGCAGGGAGTCTGCTTGAGGTTCTCCCTCTTCCTCTGCCCCTCCCCCCACCCACACTCTCTCACTCTCTCTCAAATGAATAAAATCTTTAAAATAAATAAATAAATAAATAAATAAATAAATAAATAAATAAAAATCATTCAACTAAACTAAGTTGGCCATATGAGTTAGCTCTGTGACTTAGCATCACTGTCTTGGAGAGCAACTCGCTGAATATATACATAGTAAAATTTAAAAATCTGAATCTTTATGAAATCTTAATAGAAGCAGCTCTAGACAATACTACCTACCCTTAACACCTCAGAGTTGAGGAGGGGGGAAGAAAGCACAATTTGATGCTATACTAAAATGTATTCTAAACCTCATATTTAACTTTTTTTAAACGTCATTTTACATTTTTCTTATAAAAATCTGTTACTTTAACATAAAAAAAATTAAAAAGTATTTATTTACTATTGAATAAAACTGATACCACCCTTCTACCCAGGTTGGAGTGCCTCATTTATCCTGTGGCTTTGAGAACCCATGATTTAACTACCAAAGAACCCTGGCCTTCACCAGCAGCAGAACTTTAGGCCCTCTCCTATTCCCAACCCCTTAGTGAAATGTTCTTTTCTTGTTAAAAAAAAAAAAAATCCCCTTGACATCTAGCTAATTTGAAAAGTAAGTCCTTGTTAATGTCATAATGGGTTCTGATGTCTTAATGTATACCCATTTTATTGGGATATTTTCAAGATAATTCCCTAATACAAAGTAAGGATTCCAGGTGAGGATTCCAGAAATAATAACAAGAGTTGATAGAGATGATTTTGGCCAAACACTAACATTCTCTTTTGATGCCCATCAAATGGCATCACTTCCTATGGCCTACCACACACAGACCCTGCCCTATATTCCCACTGTCTAATTCTAATTCTGCTAAAACTGGGAAGAAGAATAATTCACTTCTATTTACTTTAATCCAGGCATTTTGCTAAATGCTTCATTGGTTTGTCTCATTTAATCCTCACAATAATCTTCAGAGAGAGGCAGTATTTTTATCCCCATTTTATGTTTGAGAAAACTGAGACTCACAGAAGCTATATAACTTTTCCTAGATCACACAGCTACCACATGGTGGTTCCTGGGCATGAATCCAAGAAATTTAACTCAAGAACCTACTTACTCCAGTAATTATACTCACAATATATTAGATTACCTCTATGGAGAATACTTGAGTATGAAATGTATGTTTTTATTTTTGAGATATTAACCAGTAATCCCAAATACTTTTGCCTCATTTTATAGACTCCATATTCTAAATTCTTAATCAGTTCAGTCTCTAACCTCTCAAGGTACTTCTGATTTTCACCCATATTTCCAAACTGTCAGAGAAGTCTAATCAGATTAGATCTCATTTAAAATAGAAGAGTACATCATACAAAGTCTAGAGCTTAACATTTGCTGTCAAGTGACCCCATGTAATTAATGACTAGTTTGTGACCCTAGTTTTTACCTTCCTAAGCCTCAGTTTACTCAATAACATGTCTTCCTGTCAGAATAAAATTGGTTAAGAGAATATCTTGGCTGACATTGGTTTATGTTTAGATTTACTGAAGTTCAGAAAATGAGCACTGATTCTAAATTTAATTCTGCAGCAATAGCTATTTTCTTAGTCTCTATATTTGCATTGAAGTAAAATGAGGAAGATTGCCATAAGATTCATAACACATATAGAAGTTAACTTTAACTACTACTGCTAGTGCTGGTTATCACCATTAGTGTGCAAGTCCTAGAGAAGATTTTCAAAAATTTAAATTCAAAGTATTTATTAACCCCCCAAAAGAAAGCTAAAGTTCCCAATAATTATAACCTTGGTCATATAATAAGTATGTTTTAACCATACTTTATTTCAATAAGATATAATTTTATAATTTCTCTCTTCATTTCTTTCTAATTCAGTAATACTGTAATTTTCTAGAACCCCCTATATGCATATGTACATATATATATACATATGTATATGTATTGAATTGAATAGATTTGATTTCCTCCACCACCTGTAAACACAAATCCACTCATCCACTCCTCTTTCTTTGAAGTTCTCTCAAAACTGCTTTAAACAAAAGCTGCTTTAAACAAAAAACAGCAAGTGAAGCTAACATGTGAATGTGGCTCTTGACTCAGGGAGGTTGTACAACTCATTCAACAAGGGAAGCACTGCAACTTCTTAAGCGCCTCTTCTGGCCTGTACATATACATATATGTGTACACATATCTATACACATGTTTACATTTATACACACACTATTATATGTTTATGAAAACACTGAAGAGATATTTTGAAGAAAGTATTTATCATGATTTTTAAATGTCTAAGCATTAATCAATTTATCAGTATTTGATTATTGTTCAAAGCCCCATGGGCCGTACTGAGAGACGTAAGACATAACTGAGACTATAGACAGGGAGATGAAATGTACAGATTACTTATCAAGGCTTTCCCAGGAAAGGAACAGCAGGAGGCAGGGTGATAATACAGGTTAATTAAGATGGGTTGGAAAGCGAAACTGGGATATGAGACCACTGAATGCAGGCATAGGAGCATAGGTAATGTCTGATGGGTTTGAACTGTGATCCAACATGAGATTTTTCTAGAAATTTATTTGTGCAATTTTGAAAATAGGACTAAGAAATGAAAATATGAAAGCTGGAAACAGGGGAAAAAGTGTTTTAAATATATTTATTAGGTAGTTAATCATTTCACACATAAATTAGAAGAGGAATTCCTTAGCTCTGATGGGTCATGTTACTGAGATTTGATGGCCTTGAAACTCTCAGGGCTGCCCACCCTATTTTTGATCTTCATTACATTTCTTTACCTTTTATCTTTTCCAAACTTTGGCTCCTGCAATCTTCTATTTGGTGGCAATCTATTCAGTCATCCCTGTGGGCTTCTCCCTTCCCTTCTCTTGGGTTATCTATACTATGTCACCTGTATTGTGTTCTAGGCAGAGTCCTCCTTTGGGTGGCAGTCTTGTCCTGCCTAGCCCTAGTCCTGCTAGATAGAGATAATTAGTTGTTACTTTTGAATTGAACTGAATTGAATAGATTTGATTTCCTCCACCACCTGTAAACACAAATCCACTCATCCACTCCTCTTTCTTTGAAGTTCTCTCAAAACCATTAAGACACAGCTGCTTTAAACAAAAAACAGCAAGTGAAGCTAACATGTGAATGTGGTTCTTGACTCAGGGAGGTTGTACAACTCATTCAACAAGGAAGGGAAGCACTGCAAATTCTTAAGCGCCTTTTCTGGCCTGGGTCTCCCCGGGTGGGGTAACAATCTCCAACATTTTGACCTATCAACTTAACTTCCCAATCTTCAGTTCCCTAGAGAGTGGGAGTGGGAGAGGAAGGAGTAACATGAACATGATTTAATGCACTCTTACTTATAAAAGTCTATAACAAGAAGAAATAAAACAGTAGCCTGAGTTCTTTATTAGATTCAATTCCCAGTGTACAAACATCTTAATTCAACTCAAACAAAATAGTCCACACACATAACCATTTCTAAGGAGACTGTTTTCCTCCCTTCATTAACCTCCCTCTTCCCTCTTGCATTTATCATTCTTCCTTTCTTTATTTTCTTTTCTCCCCCTCTTGTTTTTCTTCTTTTCTCCCACTTACAGTCTCCCCCCAAAAAAGTTTAAGGGCAACCACTGTTCAACCACAAATCACCATAAATGAAGCAAACTCTCCATAAGCGAAAGCAAAACCCTCTGTGGGGGCGTGTCTGAGTGGACGCCCCCTCTTCTCTCTCTCTCTCTCTCTCTCAATGCCAGACAACAGCACAGCGAAGTTCAAGTGTCCTCAGGAGAGGGAGGTGGTGCTCACTTTCAGGGACAGTCTAATTCCTTCTGCGCAATTTGACCCCAGGAAAGCAGCCTCCCCTTAAGGGCCAAGGAGCCAGGGCATTTTGAAAATGCCCTCCCTGCCCCAACCCAGGGAGAGGTAAGGGGTGTGAAGGCGGGGCCACTGGGCTGGCGACACTCTCCCGAAGGTCCAGCCCTCGCCCGCCTTCCTACCACCTTAGGGAGCTGGCACAGAGAGCGGGATCACCCTCTCAATGAAAGGCAGATGTCCCTTTAAGGTTTGCTTTGCAGCCCGTGGACTTTAGCCTAAACACGAACCCGCGAAGCTGGCTTTATTTGTCCATGTCTCGGACAGAGCCTGGGAGGCTGCCAGTGGGATTTCAGAGACCGAGCGCGCGAAGGGGCGGGCGAGGGGGCAGTAAGTCTGGGATATGAAAAGCGTGGAGAGGACCTAGAGGCATTCGTCGAAAACACAGGAAATTCACTCTTCGGCTTCTCGGCGCCGCGACTGACCGGGGCCGGAGACTGAGACCTGCGTCGTCAGAGTGGCCCAGAGCGCGCGGCTCCCGTGCCCAGTCCTGCCGCGTCTTTCCCTCCCGCCCAGCGCGTCCCCCGGGCTCTGCGGGCTCCCCGGCCATGGCCCCCCGACGCCAGGCCAGCCCAGGGGTCGCTGTCGCCTGCTGCTGGCTCCTCACCGGTGAGCGACCTTGTTTTTTCTGAGCATCTGCGTGCGGGGCTCCGGGCTACGTGTGGGTAGGGAGGTACAGAGAGCTCTGGCCCAGAGAGGTGGAGGGAGCGCTGGTTCACTTTGGGACGCTCTCCAGGTAGTCTAGGCAGGTCCGAGTACAGAAAGGAGTGTCTGCGTTTTGTTTTTGATACTAGTTTTGATGTGTTTCAAAACCTTCCCCCGCAATGCTAGGAGGGAGACAGTGCTGAAAACTTTACAAGGTAGAAATGACTTTACAATTAAAGCTGTTTTGACAGTTTACATTGTATTTTAGGACTTTGCGGAATGTCGTTCCCCCGCCTTTATTTATTTATTTGCTTTTTTTTTTTTTTTTTGGAGGAAGGAAACTAGAGGGCACCGGATATATATGCAAAGTTCCTACCTTCAGGTTACTCAAGAGTGAGCATTATTGCATTTTCTTGCTGTCAAGTATTCAAGATCCTTTCTACTACAGAAGGAGGAAAGAAAGAAAAGCAAGGCAAAATTGTTTCTTGTCCTGAAATGATGTTTCTATATAAGGAGGAGGAACACTTTGAAATTGAGAAAGGGATAGTCTCAGAGCAGACTATTTTTTTAAATGCAAAATATAGTATTGTTACTTCTGTATAAAAGGTATTTTTAAGGAAGGACTTTAAAAAAACACTGGAAATGCAAAGTTATATCCAGTTTAGAAAAAGGTTGAATCATAGCATTTTCTAAGATTTTCCAAATGACTAACCCATGGTCAGATTTTACCATATACTGAGGGAGGATAGTTGCAATGGTGAAAGAAAAAGGCAGATTGGTGAAGCTTTGTGTGAAAGAAAGTGACCTGATTAATGATTAGGTTAATGGCTGGGTTTAGCCTATCATCAGTATTCAATGTTCAGTGTCTTTACTGCTGGCATGCTTATTGGTATTAGTTAATTTAACATTTTTCCATTAAAAACAGGGGTGATCAGGCCCATTACTCTGATTTAGATGCCCAAGCATTATTAAGTCTTATGAAAATCACTGAGAAATGGATTATTCGCAAGCAAAACATGTTTTCATGGTGAGGTGGTATTAAGAGAGTTAATTATGAGCTATTGACTTTTCATCCAAATATTTTCCACTACTCAGGATGTGTCCAGTAATCCAAACAGTAGTAACTTCTGAACAGCTTTACAGCCAGTGAATGGTTTAACTTACTAGCTACTGTCACTGCCCTTTGCACTTATTTGACCTATGATGCCTCTTCAGCTCAAACTTTTTGGAGGTTGTTTGCATTTTGTTGTCGTCGTACAAAATCTGAAGTTTTCTAACTACTCAAGTTGTACCTTTTTCATTTTACCAAATAAGCAGTCACTAGTGCAGAAACGATCAAATGCAGTTTGCACATCTCCTCTAAAAAGACAAGAATGAAACTTAAAAAAAATAGAGGTTAATAAGTTACAATTTCACATATGTATATAGGAAATATATGTATATATATACAATTTTATATATTATATAATTGAAGATTTTTTAGGTTTAACTATTTACTCATGCCTAAAACAGTCACAGTTGCATACTATGGGTTTTCTGCAATTGTTGGGATAATATGCCTTGCTAAATGCAGAAAAGGACTTAAAGAATAATGCATAGATATTTCTAAATTATAATATTTAATTTCCTTTTGTGTGTATGTGTATTACTCAATCATACTAAAATTTAAAATTTATTGCATCAGAATCAATATGTTCCTCATATATGCTATATTTATAACCATTTCACAACACAAGGATCTGAAATTTGACTTCTTCCTCTCCTTTGCTGGTTTTCCAGTCATCATATTGTCAGCTTTCCTGGAAACTTCTCAACTCATAGAATTCACAACCAACCTGTGGTCTCATCACCATACTTGCCCATGCACACTACTGTAGAGAGCTCTTTTTGTTGCAAATCTGTACCCAACCTCTAATCTATCTTCTTAATAAGTAATTTTCATTATATCTTAGTCTTTTTAGTAAAACAAACAAACAAAAACACTTTCGTGGTTCTTTATTGTCTTCAGATGAAATCCAGAATTCTCTACTGACCACTCGGGGTTTGCCCTAATCTAGCACCTCTCTCTCTTACTATACCTGTATCGGTTTCCTATTTCTGTTGTATCAAACTACTATAGATTTATTGGCTTAAAAGAAAACAAATATGTTACAGTTCTGTAAGTTAGAAGTATCACTGGGCTAAAATCAAGGTGTGGGCAGAGCTGTGTGTCTTCCGAAGGCTGTATCAGGGAGAATCCAGATTGTTCCTTGCCTTTTCCAGCTTCTAGAGGCCACCTGCATTCCTTAGCTTGTGGCTCCACCCTCCATCTTCAAAGCCAGCAGAATAGCATTTTCACATCTTTCCTCTGAATCTGCTTCATCGTCCATTTCCTTCTCTGACTCTGACCCTATTGCCTCTTTCTAATAAGGATCCTTCTAATTACAGTGGACCCACTTGGATAATCCAGGATAATCTCCTCATCTTGAGATCCTTAATTTAATCACATGTGCTGAGTCCCTTTTGCCATATAAGGTAACATATTCACAGGTTCTAGGGATTAGGACATGAACATCTTTGGGACACCATTATCCTGCCTACCAAAACCCTGAAATGTAAACTTCCCATGAAAGCCAGTCACATTTCCTTACTTTCTACACAATCCTCATACTCATTTTGCTACTGTGGCTATGATGTTGTTGTTTTATATATCTAGAAAAGAACTCCACCCTTCTTCCCACCACCCCCTGCCATCTAAACAAACTCTCTCCAGCCTTCAAAGCTGCCATCTAAAGGAACCCTCTCTAGCCTTCAAAGCTGGGTTTATATCACGACAACAAACCACCATCCCAATAAACTTCCCATTGGATTAAGAATTGTCTTGTATTAGCTTTTAACAGTATTTTAAAATGATTTGTCAACAAAGATTATTATTTTATGTAAGTCAAAGTCCCAGCAAAAAACTAGTGACACTAACTATATTTAGTTAAATATATTTAGTTAATTAACTAAAGAAAGTTTAATAAAGAACTGTTTACAGAGGCATTTAAAGAACTGACAAAAGATGGCGGAGCACCTTAGGACAAACAATAGTGAGAAGAAAGCCTCTGAAACAACAGTGGGAAGAGAAGCCATTACCACTCTTAGGCCTGAGGAGGTAGCACTGTCAGGTTGACTGTGAACTCTAGCTATGAGAGAAGGGCTGTTGAACAGAAGCTGGGGCATAGGAAGAGGAGTGCAGCTAGAGCCAGAGCTGAAGCCCAGCCAGGAGGGAGCAGGAGAAATAAATACCCCCTTCTTTTCCTCCCACCCTCTAATGTCTTGCCCAACCCTCTCATTGGCCAAGTCCAAATGACAGAATTAAACCTCCTGGGGAATAGGGTCAGGACATACAATAACAGAGAACAACTAACACAATGCTGAAAGGCACATATTTATTGGGAACATATTATGTGTGAGGCCTTGTGCCAAAAACTTTACATGTATTATTTCACTTTAATCTCAAAAAAAGGAAAATTTTAGAATATTATTCATATATTAGAGATGAAGAAACCAAAATGCTAAGAGATTAATTTGTCCAAAGTCCCATGACTAGTAAATGGCAAAGCCTGTGCTCAGCTTACTCTCTGATCTCAAATCTCATGCTGTGAAATAATATGCCATATAGACTACCAAATTCAAGTCCATTTCCTTCTTGCTCAACCCTCTGAAAGTTAAAGCCCAGCATAACTGTCTAAAAGACTTTGAAAAGGACCTAATTAATGATGTGTATCTGATATTTTCTTGACTTTTAGGTATATCATGAAATTAGATGATGTCCCACCCTATATTAATTATAACTCAAATAAGACTATCCCTGGATATTCAGAATATAGAGAATGACCCCTATTTGAGTTATATGTCTCTCCTCACTAGAAACATTTTAGTTAGCCTAAGAGCAAGGAGTCTGCCTTTGTGACTTTTTTCAGTTAAGATTTTCTATTCAAAATGAAGTCCAGTGAGGTGATGGCTGAATATGGAAATCAAATACTTACCCATAACAAAGAAATGACCTCCAGTGGCACACAATGGACTGTCAGGAATTACTGAAGATGGTGAAACTCTTTAGTCATTATGATGTCTGTAAAGGTAGCAGTAAATTCATAGGATGTTTGTTTAATAAATAGGCATTGAGAGTAGCAATGAAATATATATGTTTAACTAGTTTGCCTATTTTTCGTCCCTGCTGTTGTGATGCTGTTTTGATGCATAAACTCTTGGGCCACAGCTTATAACTGTTGATTTTACTTCCTTAGATGGATGCTCTTCTGCCTATGTTTTTTCACCTCCAACCCAAGAAACTTCCCATTAGGTTTAGAACTTGCTGGATTTTCATATGCCCCTTAAAATATTTTGTAGAGTAGCTAGCTCGTGTTTAAAACATATTCAGAAAATTAGGGATCAAAATGCTATTCTTTACCTACACAATCCTCCTGTTGTATGAAACACAAAATAGTGTATTTGAATTCATGTTAAAAATTGAGATGAAAGATATTTGGAATTGTTGCCACAATGCTAAAATCAAAATACATTGCCTATCTGGAGTGGTCTGTGACTGGAGAATTGTATTCACTCTCAAAGCAAGTACAGAAGAGTATCAAGAGATGTAAATGAGCTGAATATATTCCTGTCAAGATTACTTAGTTACTTTTAGCTCTTCTGTTGTGCCAGCTCCTCTGAGGTCTCCAGGCCTTTGCATAAGCAGTTGCTCACACTGCTTGCTTACCCTCAAGTCCCCACATGAATGTCATTTCCAAGAAACCCACTGGGGTAAATTGGTCCTCCTTCCCCAGAAACATGTAAGCCTCTAGCGTCTTTGCTTCTATACTATACCACATGATATGGTTAATTAAATATCTGTCTGTCTTCCCAGCTTGCTATATGCTCTGTGAGGGTAGAGTTTATTATCCTTAGCATCTAAGAATAATAGGCACTTGAAAAGTTGT